GCTTCACGCAAGGATGACCGGAAACTTTCATCTTTAATGATTTGATTAACACAACTATTTATCATTGAAGCGATTTCTTTTAACCCAGCGTTGTCCAGTGCGGGCACAGGACGTCCAACCCTAGCACCATTAAAACTAGGCTTCTCGTGAGAATTTTGGATCTCCGAACCGTTTGGCTCCTCATTCTCAAAGAGATTATTATTGAAAGAACTATTATATATCAGTTTCATCTGTAGTTCGCTAGAATAACCATCCTGCGACTCTAAATGCATGCGCGATTTAGAATTCACATTAGATGCCTCGATAGAAGAGGCACGCCGGTGAATTCTACCAGAGCTTCCCTCGACTTCCTTAGATTCATTTACAGAATCTCTGGGGTCCTGTAATTTGGGCAACTGTGCCTCGTACCAATCCACAGATCTAACTATGCTACCTGCGACATTGCTCTGCACAGGCTGTTTGAATCCTGTTTTCTCCGGCGCCGCAAAAAGTGATTTCCGCCGATTAACATCTGACCTGGTCCTCGACGGCGGGGCTTTGGAGCCAGAACAACCAAGTCGCGAGCTTGACAAACTCTTATCACGCGCCCAAGCAGGACCACCTCTCGGCCACGTCTTCGGCTTATCTCTCCCTCTCACGAATCCATCCTTGGTAAGGAGCTCATCCAGGGTCGCCATTTCGATTTCCTCTTCTAATAAGACTTTCCAGATTCCAACAATGGAACAGAAAAACTAATATAGGGCTTTGATTCTTACCATGAGAGGCATCGCCAAAGGAAAGAGCTGGGGAGTTGCGGATCCACATTATGATAGGAACGCGTAGGGTTTATGGAGAAGAGACGAAGAGGTCAGCGGAAGGAAGAAGAAGAGGAAAGACAAATGGCCGGCATTGCACGGTGATTATCAGGTGTTGATCGTCGTAAACAGAAACAGCTGTGTCTATAGCTTGCCAAACAGCTGTGTTACATACCGATAATACTTTTTTTGTAGTGGGTTTTTTAGGAATTTTATGCAGAGATATATCAGTTAGTTTATAATATATTATCATGTGCTCTTATTCTTTACCGTGTGGCCCGACGATCCAACCCGGAACGAATCTGGGATTACTATGTTCGCGTATTGCTCGGTATTTGCTCGGTATTGTTAGGTACTACTCGGTATTTGCTCGGTATTGCTAGGTACTACTCGGTATTTGCTCCGTATTTTCATCAACGACGCCAACTCCAAACTCCTCTCCCGCCCCTACGCCCGAGTGGACCGCCGCCGCCTCAAATCCTGCATGCTCCTCGCCTGCAACAACTCAAATCCCGCATGCTCCTATCTTTAAATTTCTTGAAGCCAAACAGAACCTAAATATAGACAGAGCAAAAAAAAAAACATGTCAGAGAATCTCACCTCCTTCAACATCATGAACGATTATTCCCCTTGCAACAACTCCGGCGACTGCGGCGAGCAAGGTGACCAAATACACCGCGCTAGCCAGCATAAATACAAAAGGGTATTCCTTATCTATCAAATCCTCAAATGTTGATGAAAATACCGAGCAAATACCTCCGTCGTCCTCGACGCCACTGGCTTCTCACGCAGCCTGGCGAGACTCGCATCTGAAGCTCCGTCCCGAACTCAAGTGACGAAACGCCGCAAATACCGAGCAAATACCGAGTAGTACCTAGCAATACCGAGCATATTCATTCCGGGCCGGGTCGTCGGGCCGCGCGGTAAAGAGTAAGAGCACGTGGCGATCTATTATAGGTTACCTGATGTATCTCTAAGTCAGGTAACCTGAGGGAATAAAAATTCGTTGAAGAGACTCATATTTATTTTTGGACTACTTGTTTTTTTTTTAATAAAATATAGAACGAAAAATTTTATAATCACAAAATTTAATTTTATTTTTTTAAAATAGAAAAGTTGGTCAACTCCCACTCTATTTAATCTCCATGAATTTCAATATATTATTTTAAATTATAATTTTTAAATAATAAATTCATAGTCAACTTTCCATTTCAATAAATTTATAGTCAAATTGAATGGCTTAATATTGTGAAACCAGTAATATTAAAAGTGGTCTTATCTGAATTCAAAAGAACCCAAATCAAATATATTAAGTACAGTGAGAAAGTTCAGGATATTAACTGAAGCTTCATATGGTCTCTGAATCATGCATGTTTATAGTCAAATTGAGTGGCTCAACAAGATGAATCTAAAAAGTCCAAGATCAGTTTATTATAAGATTTTTAAGGAACTTAAATGCTACATAAAAAGTCTATGATCAAAAGATTTAACATGCAATGCACAAAAAAGTGTTATGAAATTTTCAAAAAAATTTAATAAAATTTCACTCCTCTGAGTTTTGAAACGGGTCAAAGGGTAAGTTGGGTCTAACTCGAAATTGATTTGATCCCAATCTAATAAACCCTAATTCGACTTGTCTAATAAACAAGTCAAAAAGGTGAGCTCGAATCTAAACTGCTAGCAACTTGAATCCGAATCCGACCTGCTAACTCATTTTAATTTTAAGATATTTTTATTGATTTGCTAACCATAAATTTTAGATTAATTAATAAAAAATAAGAAGATTATATTAACGAATAAAAGAATTTAAGTGAAAAAAAATAAACAAAATAGGTTTCGTTTTTGTTTTTTCAGTTGCATCTCAACTTGGCAGCGAATTATTGCGTCCGGTCACCTGACGTTCGGACAACCAATCCAGATGAGCCACGTCACCCAAATACATCGGTGCTCGGTGTATTTTGCTGATTTGGCGCATCTGAATTGGTGTCCGGACGAATCCTGACACTGGACACAATAATTTGCCCAAGTTGACAAGGTGGAACAGTTTCTTCTTCATTAACATCTACATCATAAGTTTCATTGATTGCTGAGGTAGACGTTAATGCTTTCAGGCTTGATGGTCTTCTTGTAATGACTGAATCCAATGAACATGTTGGCATTTTTGCTATGGGAGAAGTTCTTAGAATACAAGCCCAGTATTGCCTAAACCACCTTACTCATTTACTCTTCCATCTCTACAAATTAGCTTGCTACAATAAATTTCTAGTTATCCATATTGCTTATATAATTAAGCATTTACAAAATAGGGTTTAATGATATATATATAGTTATCAATCAATATAAATTACCTCACATATGATCTAAGATTTACTATTTTTGTTATTGTACTGTGCTAATTGTTGTAGGTTAGAATATACGTAGTGATAGAGTTAAAATTTTTCGTCTGTGTTGTATAAATATTCAGCATACAAATAGAAGAAAAATGAAGCACCAAAATTTTTACCTTGAAACCTTAAAAAAGGGAAAAATTACTTGGTTACGCCAAGTTAAAGTGATTTCACTGGTGTGTTTTGATACTAATTAAAATATTTGTAATCAATGGGTCATAGTTTAAGATGTCAAAGACTATTAATTTGATGCTGCTACTTGCGGTTGCGGGCTTTAGATACTTATACAATCCAATTAGCAGATGGAGGACTCTTCTAAAAAGATATTTGGTGGAGTTAATTTAACATAATCCCACACCATAGTTATAAGCTTTCTTAAGAATTATTTTTAGAATTCAATTAATTAGAATTCATTAAAAATATTTTTATTTTTAAAATTATAAATAATTATTATTCTCCTTTTAAACATCTATAATCTCTTTAACTATACTTTTCTAATAGCATACTACTTACCAATTTAAAAAAATTCAATTAATTAGTACTCATTAAAAATATTTTTTTATTTCTGTTGCGGGCTAGAATACACGCGGCGGTAGAGTTTGTAAATTTGCGTCTGAGCGTTGCGCGAATATTCAGCACACAGACAGAAAAGAAAATGAACACCAGGTTTTTTACGTGAAAAACTCAAAAGACGGAAAAAACCACGGGGTCATGCCGAGCTGAAAAGTTCCAATAGTGTTTTGTAAATTACAAGAAGCTGATCCGTCCCGCAAGTCAGGACGATCAAATTACAATCTGTTTCTTCTAACTTAAAACAAATTTACAAAGTTCTGCAGAATTCAGGCGTCTCCCGAAAATCCGGCAGAGTTCCGACGTATTCAGGCGGCGGAAAGAAACTCCAGCGGTGGTCGAGGAGGAGATGATTCTCTCTTTCCCCTTCTTCTTGTCTCTTCTTCTCTCTCCTCACTTGAGTCCTCTTGTGAAGAATGAGTGCTCTATTTATAGTTTTTATGGAGTGGCATGACTTGTAAATAGGTGTGAGATCAAGGGCGAATAGGGAGTGGTCGAATGAACGGCCGATATCAAACCCTTCGATCGTGCACCGTTCGTTTGGCATTTGGAGGCCTTAGTGATGTCGGAATTTGGCGGTCTTGGGCTCGTTGGATTCGTCTCGTCGAGCCGTTCGATTTGAGTATAAGATCGTTAAAATCGAAGACTGTTTGGTAACTCAAATTGTGATTTGAACCTTCCAATAGCACTTCGGGTCCTTGGTTTGGACCCATTTGGGCTCGGATTGGGTTGAATTTGGTGTCGTTGGGTTCGTATTTCCGAGACAATTAGTTTGACTGTAAGCTCGCTGAAATCAGAGTTTGGGTGCTTCCGGATTTAATTTTTGAAGTTTCTGGGTTGGGTTTTGCCAAGATTCGTGCCAAATCAAGATAATTTCATGATAACGTATCAATTTCCAAAAATAATATATATTTATTTTTCTCCTTTTAAACATACTTAATCTCTTTCAACTACACTTTTCTAGTAACATACTACTTCTATAATATTTTCACATTAAGCATTCCACCATACACAAATCATCTTGGTCTAATAATTAGGAGCTTAAGCTATCAACTAAGAGATCTTAATTTATATATATACATATATATGTATAAAACAAAATACAGGAAACATAAAAACACATATACACTCCATTAAATAAGAGAGAGAAAGAAAAAACAGAGAGATATGAACACAATCAAACCTCAACACAAGTACTTCACCATCTCCATAGCAAGACAACACACACAAACCTCCACTTCTCAAAACCCTAAACCCTCGTCCCCTTCTCCACACCCGCAGCACCGCCATGCCCATGCCCTCCCACTCCATACTCATGGTCCCTATACGCCGGCCCGTACTTGCCGCTCACCATCCCCGCATGTAACAACATAACATACAACAACTGAGTAAAACACAGTATTATAATGAAGGCTTCTAGCGCTTTTAGCCTCCATCCTCTGTATCCACCCACGTGGATTTCCTTGCACGCTAAGCCAAACGCAAGTGCGGTGATCGCCCACGCGATGACTGCCGAGGCAGCGGCGGCGCCGAGACTGTCGCTTCGCCACGCGCGAACATGGCTCGCTCCGGCGAACTTTGACGCCGCGCCGACAACTCCGGCGAGGATTGCGAAGACGAGGAAGTAGAATGTTGCTCCGTTGCCCGTCACTCCTGTTTTTGAAAACAAAACATAAGAAGAGTTAAGGAACCTTTTACTCGAGCAAGAAATATAAATTCAGAACTTGAAAACTTTTTAGAGAATTAAAATTTGAATATTAACTGGGTATGATAGCCGTTAAAATTCGAAAATTTATCAGGCTACTTAAAAACAATTTTTTTTCCATAACTATCACATTATAACAGATACATCCTCTCACTAAAAAAGAATTCTAAAAGCGACATAAAAAGCTCACTTTTAGAAAAACCAAAAGGTATAAAAAATTGTCTGCAACAACCCATTAAGCTAAATCTTCCTTAAACTCTATTAAAAAAAGAGTATAGCAAACAACCCCTACAGAATACTTTCATATTAAAGAGAACTAATTGAGTTGAAGAGTGAGCTTACCGCCTTTATAGGTTTGGCCATTGATGAAATGATTCAAGCACCAGCTAGCAAAGCCGATGACGATGATGTACAAGATGAAGTTCAAGATCAGTAATGGAGCTAACAAGTTTCTTCCCATGGCTACCGTTGAAGAACGAACGAAGAGCTTAACTTAACCAACCAGTTGGTGATGATGAGAGTATTTTGCATGAAAGAAGGGAGAAGAGGAGTATTATAGAAAGAGGTGAGCATGCATGGACTACACGTGTGAAGAGAAGGCTGTCTGAAAGCTGGAGGACAACGAAGCTGGGTTTCAGAGAGGTGACATCTGGCAGACACGCGTTGGTGGATATCGCCAACTGGCTTCTCACCGCTTCTGATTTGGTTTGTTTTAGGCGTCCTTTGTCCGGCGAGGAAGATAAGGACGAGCGGAGTATTTTACTATTTTCTTTGTTACAGGGCATGTGGGAGGGTAAGGATAACGGATAGTGATTTGAATTACGGCACGTGCGGATGTATCCGTTTATCGGGTTGTGAGAGTTCGTATGTGCGGCGGGTGTTAATCAGCTTTTTTGTTTTTTTTTTTTTTTGAAGTCTGATATATGTAATTCAATTTTAAAATTTTGATTATATTTTATGGAGATATAAAAATTATAGTGAATTATAAAATGGGCGAAATCTAACGCATTTCAAAAACAAATTAAACAAGAGAGTCAATTATAAATTCACCAATAAATTACATGTAATTTGCCCAATCAATTACTTAAATTCTTAGAATACATGCATTTAAAATGTATCAAGATTCAAATAAAATTTCTTTTTCGTTTGCACTCTTCCCTCCCTCTCTCTCTTCCAAGAAACTCAAGGAGCTTCTTCTTCCTCCAAAGAATCCAACAAGTACTATTAGAGCTAGATGAAGGTGGAGGAATGTTCTTGACTAAGAAAGGAAGGAGACAAGTGTGCGAATGAAACCAGGTGGATTGGATGGATACTGGAGCTAAAAACTAGGAAACCATCTATTCGATTGGTGTTTGCACACGAAGAAGATTCGGGCCAAGGCGAGGACGGTCGTGATTTCGTAGCAGGTGGGTGCTGGTGGATACATGTCAGGCATGGGACTTAAGGCAAACACATAGGGCGTGGGGCATAGGGTGGATGGGTGTTCGGGACCAATGGGGAGTTGGTGAAGAGTAGAGTACGCTGATCTCTTGGAAGTGGGTGTGAGGGTTGATGTCGCGTGCAAGAAGGCATCATGAGGAGGTTGTAGTTAGGCTGGGTTAATGAGGGAAGCGTGGCAGCTCGTCCGGTTGGGAGAAGACTCACGAACTGGCAGGTCGTGGTAGCTAGTCGGGTAGTAAAACAGCTTTGGTCGTTTGTAAGATCTTGTGCACGGGAGAAGCAAGGAGGTCTTTCTGAAGATTTTTTTGGTGAGATCTTCTGCATGGGAACAAGTTGGTGCCCTGTGGTGAGGATCGAGCGTCAAGATCGGGCACAGACCAGTTGGAAGCAGGGTATATTCTCAATAAAAGGTATGTTTAGATCTTTGAGGTGGATTATAAGCATGTATGGTTCATGATCATGTCGATGCGAAGATTCTAAATCAATAAATTTACCAGTGAAAATAATATCAGCTTATGGAAAATCAAAATGAAGGCTCTCCTTGTTCATCAAGGAACTTCTATGACAATTTTAAGGAAGATCTTTTTGTTGTAATCGAAGGGAAAGAGCTAGGAAAATCAAATTGATGGCTCATAGTGCGATTCTTTTATCACTTTGTGATAAACTGTTAAGGGAATTAGTCGAAGAGGGTTAGGCTATAGAAGTCTAGGAGAAGCTAAAATCGTTGTATTTTAAGATATTGTTGGCCAACCAGTTATATCTAAGGAAATCTTTGTACACATTACAGATGAACGAAAGCAATGATTTGAAAAGCACATAGATGAATTTAACAAAATTATTATTGATCTCAACAATGTAGATGTCAAGATTGAGGAGGAAGATCAAGGCATTATTCTCCTAAGCTCTTTGTCGAAATCATATAATAGAGTGGATACATTACTATATAGTAGTAAGCGGACATTGACCATGAACGGGTAATGTCCAAATAACTTCAACGAATGACTGAGGATAAAGAAGAAAATATTGACAACATTTTGATTGCAAGATGAAGACAAGAGTCTAATAAGAAATGTTTCTATTGCGATAAAGAAGGGCATTTCAAGAGAAATTTCTTAGATTTATTGAAATAACAAGGAGCTAGTCCCAAAGAAGATGCCAACCTAGCAATGGCGGCAGATTTGGGAGATGGAGAATTGATTCAAATGTATTATAAAATCTAAATCAAGGTGGAGATTATTAGGAATTGGTCCAGTTTTAGGGTAGTTGTTTCATAGGTTCATTTTATCACAATAAAACTCTATATATAGAGAGGTTGTAATAGGTTTTAGGATAGCAATCCAAGTGAATAAAATTTCTTTTTAATTTTGCACTCTTCCCTCCCTCTCTCTCTCCCACGAAGCTCATGGAGCTTCTTTTTCCTCACAAGAATCCAACACAAATAAGTGATAATCATATAAACTACCAAAGGATGCAACCCTTACTGAAAAATAAGAAAGAAAATGGTTAGGTCGTCTCAAAACGTTACGGCGCACAATTCTCTGTCTACATGACAACGTTGTTGCATAAAGGTCATGTTCGTTGCAGCCCTATGCTCTCCATCTATCTCCAAACAATCAATGCTACAACGCTCGGGCATACAACGCTGCAGCATTGTATGGTTGTATGGAAAAATTTTCAAGTGCAAATCACTAGAACCCAAGCAGTGAGAGAACCCCCAACAAGCTTAACATACTGATTTGAGGTCCAAGACAACATTACAACTCGATTGTTCAACACAATCATACTTCACACTAAACTAGAAGATGTCATTGACTTTAAAAATCATTAAGAGGGTATTTAGTTAGATGAAAAAGAAATGTAGAGAAAAATGATATATAGTGTAAAACGAATGATGTATACTTGAAATACTTAAAATTATTTAGAGGAGTGCAAAATAAATGTAGTGTAAAGCTTAATGATGGTAGTGGATAGGGGCATAGGGCGGCAGTGGCAGCATAGGTGTTTGTCGGCAGTGGCAGCAGAGGTGTTTGCCGACAGTGGCATCATACACTGATTGGTGATGTTCAATAATGGAAATGGATGGTGTTGGTGAGTGGATGGTGACAAGGAGTGGTGGGTGGCCAGAACAATAGTGGATTGCAGTAACAATGGCTTTTAGAGTGTACTTAGAAATCAATCAAATATAATGATTTTCAAATAAATCAACATTGAATTAGAGTATGAGTTATAAATACTTCAAAAAATTTTACTCTACACTTCCTTTACTTGAGACCAAATACTAATATTCTCGATGATTTACTCCCTTTTAATTCAAATTAAACAATCTTTAAATTTAGGGGGATTTACATACATACCACTTTATTTGTTATATATTACATATTTAACACCTAATACTTAAATATTACATTAATACAACCTAAATACTATTCTCATAACAAAAATACCACTCCGTCAAATACATCGCTCATTCCGCCTATTTTTCGCGGGATATTCGAAGGAGAAGAGGCCATTCTCGTGCGTATCTCTCCGGTGACTCTCCAGGTGAGCTATCTCATTTCCTTTTCCTGCAAACCGTGTGTATCTCGCCGATTTCGTCTCAGCACCGTGCGTATCTAGCTCATATCCTTTTCCATTTCCTCTTCTCTCTGTTCGATATTCTATCAAAGTTCTTCTATCTGCTCGGTCTTCTGTCAAAGTTCTTCTCTTTGCTCGGTTTGCTCTCTGCTCCGATTTTTTGTTCATTCAGTTCAGCAATGCATCTCATTTTTGTTCCATATTTGACAGCCACACTTTTCGTTTAATAGCTTCATGGTTTATAAAATTAAGATTGTTTGTTATTCGTTTAACGATTTGGTGTTTGATTTGTTATCTAATTTCAGTTTGAAGGTAAGGAACAAATGACAAGCACGTGGTATAAGTCGGTAATGCATGATTATGGTGAAGAAGTAGTAGACGAATTATGTGGAGATAAAAAAGAGCATATATTTATTGCATTCAAATTTGGACTTTGGGTAGACACAAAGGACTAATCTAGAAAGAGGTATATTGGCGGAAAACAAAGGACATGCAGTGAAACTTGAGAAATGACAAATGAATATTTTCAAAACTTTAAAGACTGCCTTTGGTTTGTTCATAAGAAGCACGATTAACGACTCCATAACAAAGAAGGATAGTCCAACCATTTATATGTAAACCAACAAAAAAAGCGTGATTTTAGGTTTGGTGCCATTCACAAACTTACTGCAGCTTTGTCAAATTGCTACTGCAACAGTGATTGAGAAGGTAAACCAACAGAATGTGGAAGTTGCCAAACAATTTCTGAAATGAAAAAGTGTTGTTTGACTGGTCTCAATGAATATAATTTAGAAATTTTTTTCACTAATTTGGATAAGCAAAAAACATACACCTGATCAACACAACAATTCAAGCAACTAACATTGACGACTAAACAAAACAAAAAAGCCGTGTTGATACTACTTAGCATTCAACCCATCCCGACAAAACACATTACAAACCCAAACGGATGGCTACATCAACAAGAACAATTGCAATGAAGACTTTCATCAAATATATGATCCAGTCAAGCTTCTTAATAACTTTTGCCTCAAAGCCTTTGCTTTCATCATCTGTACCATAAGATGCATCTTCTACTTCATCTATCCATCTAAAGTATCTGCAGTCGTCATCAGTTCGATTATTCGTGCACCTATAAAATTGTCTTCCACTATTAGGACCACGGTGCCATGAATACAAGACACAATTCAGCCGACAATAATAATAAACTTCAGCTCGTGTGCGCCTCGTAGCAGACGAATTCATAGAACTCATTTGAAATGTTAAAACAATATGTCGACAAAGACAAATATATTTAAGAATAAACGTCTGGAAAAAACAAAACAGAACCTGTAAAATGAATTTTTAAGAACACTGCTTACTCCATTCAAAAGCATTACAATACAAAATCTTTTAGAATAAATGTAGCCAAAAAGCTAGACTGGATCAACATAGTCTGTAACTAGAAACAAGCTTAAGAACTTACAGGGCACGAAGATGTGAAGAGAAGAGGTTTTTGATATGTGAGGAAGATCTGCGAGGAGGATGCCTGGAGGGAAGATCAAGAAGAATGCAGCTCGCGAAAGCTCGCGACAGCTCGCGGAGCGAAACTTCTGGATAATTCCGCGAGAAGATGTGGGGTTTTGGATATGTGAGGAAGATCTGCGAGGAAGATGCCCAGAGGGAAGATCAACGATGAAGAATGCAGCTCGCGACAGCTCGCGGGGAGGAAGATCGAAGGGTTCCAGGACACGAAGATGTGAAGAGAAAAGGTTTTTAAATACGGTGGCTAGGGCTTGCCTAACGAAAACAGACAAAATGAGCAATATGTTTGACTGAGTGGTATTTTTGTTATGAGAATAGTATTTAGGTGGTATTAATATAATTTTTAAGTATTATGTATTAAATATGTAATATATAACAAATAAAGTGGTATGTATGTAAATTCCCCTTAAATTTATTTTGAAATGAATATTATATATTAACAATTTATATTATATTTATCTTAATATGGATAAAAAAATAAGATAATTTTTTTTTCTTTTCTTAAAACAAAGCAAAATAAAAACATGAAAAGTTACAAACTATCTGTCAACATCTTCAGAAAGTTAGGTAAGTGACTCATAAGAGTGTTCTATTGGTTCAGATGTGGGATGTGGCCAAACATATTGAGACTTGGCCATCAAATATCTAATAGCCTTAAACTGCACTTAGGATAATTTTTTAATTGAATAGAATACATCAACTAATGATGGTTAATTATCTCATGAGCAGTGTTTGAACATAATCCACTTCATATTTAATTATATAAATTTAATTATGTAGGAAATAAGTATAACAAGAAGGAAATATATTAAGATTAACAAAGATCATAATTATAATTAGGGAGCCTAATTATATATAATGAAGGGAAAATATATGCTCTTATTTGTAATGAGAGAGAGTAATCTATTTTAGAATGGTTTCTCTTAATTAGTTTACTTATTTATTAATCTTTATTAAAAAAATAGTATGGTTTTTTAATTTTAAAGTGCAAGTTTTAACATAAAAGGCCTAATAAATCAGGTTTTGTAGCACTTTAATTTTTATGACATAATACAGTGTTTTAAATACCTACTAATTTATTTGCAGCTGTATTTGCATTCGCTGGAAAATCTTTAGTGTCAGTTTCATGAGTGTAGTTGTAGGAAGGCGTTAGCAGTACTTTTAGTGGGGGTTAAAATCGCCGCTAAAACTCGACATATATTTAAAAAAATATAATGTCAAAAAATTTAATTTTGCCATCAAATTGCAAATATGATCAATAAAATAATATATAAATATAAATTGAGTGAATTTTTTTTTTTTTGGGACATTTAGGCCATTTAAGGCAAATTCACACACACAACGCATACACATAGACTCGAACCCGGGATCTCTTAGTTGAAAGTCTAAGCTCTCAACCAATAGGCCAAGGAGAGTAGTGTGTAAATTGAGTGAATATTAACAATATATAAATTTTATATCCAATGTGTTCAAAAGATTATACAAAACTTGTCAAAAACTAGAAATATAAAGCAAAGAATTAATTCAAACATCAAGCCACAAATAAACAACCTCAAATGACACTCTCAGTTTGCCCAAAATTTCTAAAAAAATGACATTTATACTAGTAAGCAAAACCTTGTAAAACTAACAAGCAACTCAAGAGCCATATAAACTAATAACAACTTGAGAAAACATAATCAAATTGAGGTAAAAAAAATGGATTGATATGAGTAAATTGAAAACAACATATTGACACACAGAAGATCTTACAACAACAAAACTTCCTAAAAGGAATCAAAACGTTGTGCAGAACAAGAAAATATGCAAAGAAATTCTACACAAAACACCTCTTAACCAAATGATTTAAGCAAGTGGCGTGCTCTCGTCGCGACTTCCGATTTGACATGGAAAACTTCGTAGAAGGAAGATGTGAAGAAGCTCCTTTAGCTACTCTTGTAAAACTCTCTTTCACATAAAGTCAAAGAAGAACGAAGAAGATGAAGAAGCTAGTTTAATGACTCTTTCAAAACTCTCTACATGAAGCCATATATGAATTACTTGCCTCCAATTTATATCTCCGTATATTAAATCGTGCAACTTCCACCGCCGCCTCCTCAAATATGTCGTTGCAATCATTCCATTCTCCCCAAGTATCCTCCCAATCCCAATCGCAAAGAGAGGCTGCGACGTCGGAGGCGCGGGAGCTAGGGCATGAGAGGGAGGAGGCAGGCCCGGGAGACGGACACGCGAGCGGGAGCTAGGGCAAAGGAAAGGAGAGGAGAAATCACAAGATATTAAAAGACGGCTATTTAAAAAAAAAACGATTTTTAAAATGCTGTTATTGAATGCTCGGAAAAATATCATGTTTAAATAGTAATTTTAGTAGCGGTGAAAATCACTGTCTATAGAAGTGTTATTATTGGACCTGACCCGAAAACCTGACTTGAAAATTTTGGGTTTGGGGTGACCCGAACCCGAAGCGGTCGAGTTTGGGTCCAGAAAACCAACTCATTTGCAAAATCGTGTCAGGTTCAGGTTGACCTGGAAACCCGAGAATGACCCGAGTTATCCCGGAATGACCCAGAAAGCTGTTGCCTGCCCCAGCTGCCCTGGCTGCCCGCGTGCATCAAGACGCGTCGCTTGCCCGCATAGCCTGCCCGCTTGCCCCCGCTGCCCTTCCTACCGCCAAAGTCATGCGATTTCTGTTGTTGTTGAAGTCGAAGCGGGTCAGGCCGGGTTGCCTCGAACCCGAAGAGGGTCGGGTTCGGGTTTGGGTCTGGAAAACTAAACCATATGCAAAAACTGGCCAGTTTCAGGTTAACCTATATAATGTTGGGTCAGTCCTAGGTTCGACTCCAAATTGACACCCCAAATTGTCTATACCTATTTATAACTGCAATTTTTCAAACCGGCGTTATAAACTATATCGAAAACATCAAGTTTTTGATAGTGAGGGTTTGTTTGGGGTTATTTTATTACTGTTTTGTTTTACACACCGCAACCATAATTTTATTACTTTCTCATTATTTTTTTAAAAAAATTCTATGCTAGTATCAATATTATTTTCTTACATAATGCTTTAGGTCAAAATTAAAGTTCGTTCAAAAATAATTATGAGCTAAAAGGCGCACTCGAACTTGAAATCGACTCAAATCGATTTTGCATCGAGCGATGCATGATTATTAGAACAATAGTAGATATCTAATTTTTATTTTATTTAAATTCAATCTTTAATTAATTTATATGAAGCTTTCTCAAAATTTATCATAAATCCTAAAATCTCTTAACAGTGAGAAAAATAGAAAACTATTATTATATAGCATGCACTTAATCTTTTGAATTTTTAGTTTTTTTTTTTAATTCAAAACTATATGAGATTACCATTTTTTTCTCCATTTGCTTATCCAGAAGAACTTTGAGTACAGTCGCCAAATCCCATCCTTTCTGATTGGATTAGGCTGGCTAATTGCAGTTTAGTCTATAAAAATTCTTCATTTTCATTTATTACTTTAAGCTTCAGAAATTTCTCTGTAAGTATATTCTATTTTTTTTTTTAAATAAATGCATAATTTTGCTTAAAAATAAATAGAAAATTCAAACACAAACATTCATATGAATAAAAAGCTAAACTATTTTATTTTTTAAATATTTATGTAGCCTTAGCTACTTGATGATTTAAAGACAAATACTAATTATTTTTAGACTTTTTTTATTTCTTAGAAAAATCACTGCATTAAATTATTTGAGATAAAGATTAAAATGGTTCCTAACTCTTCATAAATGGTCAAAATGATCTTCGACTATTTAAAAGTTAAATTTTATTATGTTAACTTTTTAAATAGTGACTTAAATGATCTGATCACAAAAGATTAAATCAGGGGCGAAACCAGCCTCTCTCTTTTGAGGGTGGAGAAAATAGGATTGTGAAATGCATAGGTTTATGTATGAAATAGAATTTTTTTATTTAATTATGGGCAATTACGTACATTTACTAAGGCGGGCAAATATTTTTCTAAGAAATGGGCAATTGCGCTCCCTGAGCTCTTCCTGGTTCCGGCCCTAGATTAAATTCATCCCTATTTAAAGAGTCAAGATACCAAACTGATACTTTTATATAGTTGGAAATTAGTTTAATCCTTTAGAAAAAGTTAGGAAACCAATTCGATGATTTTCTCAAAAGTTTTTTTTTTTTTATTATGCTATATTGATTCTTTGTTAGTCATATTTAGATTTTGTTTGTGACAACTTTCTTACTATTTTTTAAAGAAACTTTTTAGTACTAGAACTAGAAATTTTTGTAAGAAAAAACAGCTTTAAAAAGCTATAAGAAATTTGTCTCAAACAAAACTAGCCTACATCTGAATAAAGTTGAATTACACTATCTCAACTCTTATGAAAAGAAAATTAAAGAATTAGCTTTCCAATTTGGATGCCTAAGATTAAAAATATATTGATTATCTTTTCCTATTAACCGCGCCTAATAATTTCTCTATTAAAAATATCTCATTTACATAATTAACCTTTAATGCAATAAAACTGTAAAAAATTTATATAAAATATCATAAAGAGTGATAGAAAAAAGCTCAGCATAATTGATGCTTAAAGTGCTTCTCAATAAGCAGAAAGTTATTATATGATATCCTAAAGATATCTTTGAGACAGCTTTTTTATTGTTTTTAAAAGCAGTTTTTTAGTACAAAAATTTAAGTTCAAGAAAATACGAAATCCAAGTCACATGAGATCTCTCAACATAAATTTGATATAAACAGAATTAGATCTCAGGACTTTGTAGAACTCCTAAATTTTTTACCAACAAAACTAATCTATGTCCCCCTTTCAATAAAAACTAAGAGCTTGCTCTCCCAGGCTAATTTCTATATCATCAAGATTCCACAGATTATCCCATGTGTCATAGCAAGTTTCCTCCTCGCTCGATCTATCTTCGCTGCTAGTTCTTGATTCTCCAACGAAGCCAGCTTCTTCTTGATACATGAATGGCAGATTGCTGCACATGAAAGCAATTTCCTGCATCTCTTGTGCCATTATAGCCTCCTCAGTTAGTGTAGTTTCCTCCTTTACAGTACTGCTTTCTAATAGTAATAACTGCTGCTGCTGCTGTTGCTGTTGCTGTTGCAGCAGTTGCTTTTGCTCCTGTTGCAGTCTCAGATATCTCGCTCGAGCCTTGTCCACATTCTTGGTGGATTTCTTGAAATGTGTTCTCCAGTAATTCTTGATCTCGTTATCAGTCCTCCCTGGGAGGCTTCTGGCAATCGTCGACCATCTACAACATAAAAAAAATGGTCAGCTTCCAGCCTTCAAGCTCATATTTTTATTACTAGCTGGTTCTAGTGTCTTAATTAGATAAACGTGCCATTTTCAGATTGGATTAATACTAACTCATCATGACTTAAATATATTCTTTTGGTCACCTAAAAAGACAGCCTTCTGATGACCCGGTTAGGAAAGTAGAGGTATTAGATTTGATTTTTGTTAAGAAAGTTTGAGGTAGATCTAAAAAGACTTGGTCGGAAAATATTAGAAATGATCTTTCTTTATTAGATTTAAACGAGAGTTTGGCTTTTAGCATGACACAATGGAGAAAAGGATTCATGTAGCCGACCCCACGTAGTAGAACAAAGGCTTGATATTGTTGTTATTGTTGTCGTCATTTCAAGTCAGGTCTGAGTTGAAATTTTCAACCAATTTAATAAATGGGACAAATTCAACTTGGTCATATTCATATTAGGTCATGATCAGACTCGAATCCGACCTGTAAACCTGAATGGACACCAAGCATAAACCTAAAAGGGTAAAGAACAAGCTCACCTGTTCCCCCACCTAGCATGGAGCTCAAGAATGATGGTTTCTTCATGAGGTGTAATCTTGCCTCTCTTGAGATCAGGTCTCAGATAGTTCACCCATCTCAGCCTGCTGCTCTTTCCACTCCTCTTCAATCCTGTACAGTATTATTTGCTTTTAGATAATCAGAAACTGGCATGGTATTTCTACAAAGAGCTTTCCATTAGCTTGCACAGTACAGATAATTACCTGTTAGCCTGGAGACAGAATTCCATCTTCCTTCACCATGAAGCTTTACATGCTCAATCAGTAACTGGTCTTCTTGTGGTGTCCATGGCCCCTTTCTCCATCCATCTGCAACTGTTCCCCAACCATAGTACTGCCCTTCCATCCTGATACAGATGGAATAGAGAAAGAGAGAGAAAGAAAGTTATAGAGAGAGAGTGTGTGTGAAATCTTCTACAGTGAGGAAATAGGAATAAAATGAGATACAAATGAGATATGAAAGAGTGGCTTGGTATTTATACTATGTTTGATATACACAATGAATTGAATCTGCGGGTCTTTATCAAAGCTTTTCATCCCCCACTAACTTGTCTGAACTGGTTTTGAAGTTTCTGAGTCTGTCATCATTGTTCAAGTTTATTCGCAGTACTGTAGGAGGGCCCATGAAACACTAAAGAGAGGTGGTTTGATCAACTACTATAAGTTTACTGCAGAAACCTCGTGTTAAATTAAAATTTATTAATTAAATGATTTCAGGCTGTTTGCAAAGTTCAAATTGGTAATGTATAGTAAATTTGATAAGAAATTAAGTTAATGAAGTTGGAGAAATTGAGTTTAATATGATAATTAATTGCATAAGCAAAATAAACTACTATAATGGTCATAAAACTTGGAGAAATTATTATGTGTGGACACCGGACAGAGAGAACAATTCAGATTTTCTACATCTCGGCGTTGTACAAAAATTCGGTACGCACAGAAAAAAAGTAGTAAGATCAAAAATTTTTTGCGTGAAAAAACCCAAAAAGAAAAAAAATCCACATGGTCTGGCCTAGTTGAAAATCCACTATTTAGTAAATGATACAATAATCTTCTTTTTTTCACTGTTAAAGAAGAGGGGGATTAAACAAACGTCTAATTTTTCTTAATAGAGATATAGAAACCAAGTGACCACAAAATGATAATTAACAACCAACAACAAGACTTGATATCTCCAATAGAGAGTATAAAAAATATTGTTCACATGCGGACAATTATACCCAACAAGAAGGATAAATTTTCTTAGTATTCTAGAGATGATTACACTTTTTGATAGTGATCATTGGTGGTGATGGTGGTTATCAGCTGCAATAGCATGTGATGGTCATTGACGTCAATGGCTATAAAATGCAAGAGAACTCTCTTCAGTTCTTTCTATCCTTACTCCCGCCTCATGTGAAGAACAAGGCCTTATTTATAGTTTTTTGGGATCAATATTTTGGTAATTTAAACCAAAATATAAAACACTCCATCATACGACTCATATTGATTATATTGATCTTGAAATGCTTATTAAATATTTAAGAGCCTAAATGATGTTAGAATTGAGTGATTTTGGGTTTGTTGTATTCATCCCATTGAGCAGCTCGATTTGACTAGAAGCATGTCGAATTTTGAAATCATTTGGTCATCCAATTACTGCTCTAAGCTTCCAAATGTGGTTTAAGCCCTTGATTTGAGCCCGATTTTGGTGTTGTTTGGTTCATCTTGCCGAGACATTTAGTTTGACAATAAGTATATTGAGATTGGAATTTGTATGGTCCTAAATTTAATTTTAAAAGTTTTCAATTAAAAAATGCCTCAAGATTTGTGTCTGATCAAGGTGATTTTTAATGATGTATCGCTTATAATTTTTCTTTTCGAATCTTTAAATTAAAAAAAAATGGCATACAATCCGTTTAATATTAATGATGTTAAAGATATTTTATTTTTCAATACATGTAATCAGACAAATCATTCATCCATGAGTCTCCCATATGATTGGGCAAACTACTCTTTACAATCTTAATAGTGAATAATGCCTGTTCAACTGCAGCTATAGTAATTTGCAAAATCAGAGCAAATTTTATAAGTATATATATCAAATGATAAATTTCATTCTTCTTAGTCTCCACCAGCTTTTAAGCAAGTTTTTCAAGTCTTTTCAAATTCATAAATACAACACTATGTCTCATATCAATAATAAAATTATCAAGTTGGTTATCCATTATGATGAGATTGATATTTTAAAAATCTAATGAATAAAATTTGGCCAGGCTTATCAATCCTATATTATCAAAAGCTAAAAATGAATCATATAGATTCAAAACTATCACAAACATAAGTAGTTATGTATTTATTTCATCAAGTATGTTGATAAACTCTTAAATTTGCATATCAAACACAATGTAAATTTGTTCAACTTGGTAGTAATGTCTATATGTGATTACTTTAGCTATTTGCCTTGATCTTCCTCGCTTTATAAATGTATCATCCATATTTAAAATAATTATATTATTCGCCTTACAAAATAAATAAACAACTTTAAGCAAACTGTATCAACCATCATGTCCCATATTTTGAAGTTTTTGCTTAAATACATTTACAGCACCCGTGATAACTCATTTGTGATCTCAATACAGCCATCATCATATGTAAATTGAAAATAAGTTCAAAGCATTGCATATAATCAAGAAGGGCATATGCTTGATATTTTTGCTTATTGGTTGAACTATCTTGTATTATTATTAGCTCAAGAAGCTCAATGATAAATCCAAACATAAGTATTAAATTGATAAGTGATCCATAATGCAAACACCAATGTGTATCTCCAACATGTTGAAGAGCTACTTTCTAATTTGAGCCTCTACCTCTAGATGCTTCATCATTATGTAGTTGTTCAATTATCTTGTTATATTATTTCTACAGTAGTATTTTTCTTCTCTGGCGTGAACTTCCAATAACATTTATCAAATTATAAATTGTATTAAATAGTAAAGTAATTTCTAGAGTAATGAGTTTATTATTTTGTGGGGCATTATCCAAAATAATTTTGCTTATATCTTCATTGTGGCATGCTAGAAATCATAGGAGCTTAAGAAAATTTTCTTGGTCCTCATAATCTTCAAATTCATCATGGCCATAAAAATGCTAAACCTTGATGTAAAAGAAAACATATGCAATCTATACATGCAGTTAAACGTGTTCGATAATCTCTGCACTTTTGATCAGATGGTCTTTCAAAAGCAAATCTATTATCAATGTATTGATACATTCAATCTTCGCATTTACGCCAAGCATTATAATTAGCATTGTTAACTTCACCAATGTAAACTTAAAATCTATCATTCTTTTTTTAATTTCAGAATTTTTGTGTCAAAACAATCACCACTAATTTGATCTCCAAAGTCAGGTCTATAAAGATAACAATACAAACAATAAGCTGCACCTTTTGTAATATTATACTATAATCAATATTTGTGTTCATCAGATCATACAAGATTAAATCTTCGTAATTCGTGTGATGAGGGCCCGTGCTGCCAGAGCCCCCATCGTGGTTCCACTTATGGGTATTGCTTATATCTTATTGTGACAAATTAGATGGTCATAATATAGTAGTAAATTATATTAATATGTTGTGAGGAATTAGCTAAGTTGAATTACAAAAAAAGTTAGATAAGTGTGTAAATAAAATTCGATTGGAATAAATAGCTCATAAGTTGAGCTCACTGAGCTAAGAATCAACCCAATTTGTCATTCATTCATAATGAGACAAAATTATTTAAATGGCTAACGAGACAAAATATACTTCTTACATATTTATAAAATTCATTTGATTCACATGAATCTTGATGCATTATTTGTATTGCAATTTTATGAAATTAGGTTCAAAAGCATTCAGACTCTGATTTCAACAAACTTATAATCAAATTGAACATCTTAATGAGAAAAGCTCAATGACATAATTGGTGATCGAATCCAAGTCCAAGTAAGCCTTCATCAAGCACTTGAAATATGGTTAAAATTCTTAAGAAATTAATTAAAGGATCAAACCGTCTTTAAATCTAATAAGTATATATTCAAATCAAACAGCTCGAGATCACTTGATATTGATGCTATCAAAACACTAAAATATTGAATGAATTACCTATAATTAAAAGAATTCAATCTACCATGTATTGTATGAAAGTGTATTATGGAATTTGTCTAGATTTATCAAAATGGCCATAAAAAAAAAAAGTTTAAATACACCTCATTTCTTCATATGAAAGGAAGATTAACTTGAGTTTAGAGAGAGAGATAGAGCTTTAAAATCTAAGGAACACAAGAATTTTACTTGACGTTCGATAAGATAATCAATGCCAACCACAACTATTATCCAACCGTTATTGCAAACCATCGTCTTCGCTGCTTAACCGTTATATTCCATTTATCGTCTTTCAATCATTATAATTCAATTATCACTGCCGACAACATCACCAAATCACAGTCCGACTACTATTGCTCGACCGTCATCTTCCGCCATTCGCCGCTTGATCAATAACTTTCAACCATTGTCATCATCCCTCCACTATTTTTCCAACAAGTACTACTACTATTACAAGAAGAGCAAATTCCTATACCTTTTCATATACAGTGAATCATTCTCACAAAAAAAAAAATGAGGACCGTCCAATTGCAGAGCATTCAGCTTCGCCATCCCTTCTCTCATTGATCAAGCAAAAGTAATTCTGGGAGGTCCCCTACAGGAGACCCTACAGGCTACAGCCGCATATGCTCCGCATGCTTATAAGAATATAATAATAATAATAAAGTCATTAATTATTTGGTTGGCGTGTATCACATGAATGCCCATTGCCCGAAGATTTTTATTCTCCCATACTTTACAAGATCATAAATAAAATAAAATAAATAAATAAATAAATGTACGGATTTCATTTTAATCATCCACGTATCCACCCAGCTTTTGTGCAGGTTTTGGCTTTTAAGGATCGGCTTCACCTAATTGATTATTTTTGGCATAAATAATGGCAAAGGGATTCTCCTTAGAAAGCTTGATCTTGCACGAATTTTTATGAGGAATATTTTAGTATAAATTTGATTAATATTTTCTTATTAAATCTATTTAACCAATGGTCTGTTTGGAATAGTTTTTTTGTTATTTTATTTTTCATATAGTAATCATAATTTTAGATTTTATTTGGGATGATTTTATTACTGTTTTTTAAAGTAGATTTTTAATATAAAAATTAAAATTTTTGCACTAAAAAAATGTTTGTTTAACATGATTTTATTGTTATTTTTTTAAAGTAGCTTGAGTTTGAGCTTAAGCATGATTGATTAATCAAGATTAAGCTATATTTAATAAGTTTGAGTTGTCTTACGAGCAAATAGTAATTTGGATTGAGCTATTATTATAATAAAACGATAAAGAGTGGA